CCCTGCTAAAGGGGTGATTTTTGATGTATTCTTGGAAAAAAATTTCAATTGACCCAAGAGTTGCTTTGAGGAAAGGTGCAATGAGACAAATTTAAGTACAAGTAAGTATCATACCAAAGCTCAAAGTCAATTTACCCGCCATAGCAAGATAGAAACCCACGGAGAATCAACATCTTACTACTATTTGAGTCAGCTGCTCCATGGTAGATAAAGCAAAAATGCAGAAAAGTTTAGAACAATTGACACTATTTTCCATCTACTTGTTTCCATCTACTTTGAAGAGCATGCAAAAGGTACCAGGAAAGCCACTACAAAACTCTTATCTCAGGGCTGGGAAGGTGGCTCAGTGGTAGAGCGCTTGCCTTGCATGCATGAGGCCCTGGGTTCAATTCCTCACCACCACATAAGCAAAAGGAAAACAGCCAAAAGTGGCACTGTGGCTCAAATGGTAGAGCATTAGCCTTGAGCTGAAGAGCTGAGGGACAGTGCCCAGACCCAGAGTTCAGGCCCCACGACCAGACCCCCCACCAAAAAAAACCCCCACAAAACTCTTATATCCTGGATACCAGATTTTGAAGCCAAGAATAAGGATTAATCAACTAAAAATCTGTTTGTCATTCTTTCCCCAAAAACATACAATTAAAAAATTAACTCATTAATGAATATTTTAAAACCCTCACTGCACAGGACATTATCAAATCCTATTGCTAGGAGCTTTCTGAACTTCAGCTTTATAAAACATACATGGATTGTTTCTTCTTGCAGTGCTGCAGATCAAGCAAGCAGCTGATGTAAACTGATCACGCTGTAATCTGAGCTGTCTACCGGCAGAGGCTAGCTGCTTCATTTTCTAAAGAACTCTCAGGCCATGAAGCTCTTCTCACCATGGGGTGAAGCTGATGACTCAAGTTCAGGAGGCCTTGTCTCAAGATAGCACCTCACTGTAGCTCTTTGAGATATGGAGAATGAAAGCCTGTCTTGTCTGATGCTGGCATGTCATGCTGGGGATGTCATTCTGCTGCCAAATCCCTACATTGGGGTTTAAGGCTTGCAGAAAGTATGGATTTGGCCCACAGTTACATCTGCTGGCCAGTCACAAATACCACCAGGCTTGGCTTGTGGTAGAGGTTTCAGCTTCTTCTTTACCCCAGTGGCACCAGAACTGGAGTTACCAATTATTTTCTAATTTTCTCTGTCTCCTTTCTGTTTCACCACTTTTTAGTGGTCCAGTTTTTCTCTTATGGTTCCCAGGGCTCTTCCTTTACTTTCGTTCTTATTTATCTATGTCTTGTCTCTTCTTTGTTACCCAGACTCTACTGATTCATGGAGACTGACAAAGAAAGTTTCTACTCTGCCATCCTGCCTCCAGACAGAGCCTGAACTTTTCATTCTTAACATTTAGAAATATTGTACAAAACTGGTGTTTTGAATTTTGGGGAAGAAGACAATATCTCCACATGTAGGACACTTCCAACCTGTCTATCAAGTGACTCAAATGCTGACTAATTTCAAGTTGGGGGCTCAAGCAAGAGACTATTTTGCAGGAAATAAGTGGAGCTTCACAGTCAGGTAATAGAGAAACCATGGCCAGAGATGTCCAGTTTGATCTGGCGGTTGTCAAGTCATCTATCATAAAATGAGCTTGCACAACTACAATCCTCCTGTGATGGAAATGAAGCAGGTACAATAAACCTGAGCAAGTTCACAGGGCACAGGTTAATTTTGTGCCCCAACATGCCATGGGTGTCATAGCCCTGATTCTCCAACATTCTACACCTATGGCCTCATGAGATGCTCCCTGTGACCAACTGATAAAGCAGAAAAAATGCTTAATATATTGCTTAATAAGTGGCATTTAACCCCACTAGAAACCATTCACAAGTAGCTCTGAAAGACAGCAGTGAGGAGCATAGCATGAATGCTTGGCATTTAGAAGAAGAATTAGGTCTAAGCAAGAAAAAATATAAATAAAGTAAAATGGAAGGCTTTCTCTCTCTCCCCCTCCCACATATATACATACATACCATTTTCTTCTAGTTTGTCTCCCAATAACATAAGGCAACATAAGGTTAAAACAAAGAACCCTCTCTGGAGAAGAATTGAGTCAACCTTAGTGGAAGTGCCTCCTATTCTGAATATGTGTTTGTCCTCTTTGGCATGGGTGGTCAGTTCTAGGAGTATTATTTGACAGCTTATAGAAGGTATTATTTACAAACATGATATATTGCACCAAAGGACCCAGAGAAATAGAGGCAAGGCATAAAAAGACTGTAGGATCACTGTAACTACTATATGCCACATTATCCTAGTTGGCATGATTGAATGATTGAATGCATTATTAAGGGTTTGGTCAACTTGGAAACAGCACTATATGGTTGGAAGTTATTTTACACAGTATGGCATCTAGCCTCGACCTAATGACTGATTATATGGTACTGTGTACCCAATTGTGAATACGTAAGTCTGGAAACCAAAACTGGATCCTCTCACCATCAATCCTCAGTGACCCATGTGAAAAACCCATGCTTCCTATTCCTACATTCTTAGACTCTGTTAGAGGTCTTGCTGATGAATGGGGGCAAGAAGGAGAAACTCAATTATACAAGAAGATGCAGTCAAGTTCTCATAAGCCTCTAGCTATGACTACCACTTGCTCACTTTGGCTGCTCATATAGTACACAAAAAGACCCTTTTTTACTGGAAGGGTAATTAGATATCTTGTGCAACTAATATTGCTAAATAACAGAAGCAGAATATGTGCATAATGCAAACGATTCAGTGGCAATATTCTGTTCTTACATGCCTGATGAAAGCATTGGATTTAAAATTTTACCAGTGATCCCAGCCTGACACAGTTAAGCTCACCAGTAGCTTGGATTCCTCAAGCAAATAACTTTTGTCAGTTGAGTACGCACCAACGATGAAGGAATGGGAAAGGGGAGGTGGAGGCGCTTGGGGACATCACTGTTAGTGCTTGCTATGCTTTAAGTACTTTCCAGAGTCAGAAGCTGGATGTGACATTAAAATTTTAGTGGCAGATTGGATTTTATAAAACAAAAATGTTCTGACACCAAAAAAATGTTCCAGGGCTAGACCATGAGATATCCTTCTGGTGTTCTTCTATACCGTTTTGTGTTTCAGCAGCAAAGGTGCTGGACAGTTCCACCGTTTTCCATCAAGCGGCGGCTGCATCCCTCTGCTTTCCCAACTCACCACGTTCTCCAAAAGCCACAGAAGTTCAAGCCCACACTGGATGTGCGTCCTGGGAATTAACTCCTCCGGAAGACACCCTCCACCAAATGAGTGAAGTGAACCATTGCATTCTAGAGGGTTCTTCCAAGAGTGTCTTTCGGAACTGTGTTCCAGTTGACTGCGGTGCTGACCAACTCAGTAACATATTATTTAGGGCCACTCCTTACTAGATCTCTGACCTTTGTGCCTCCCGAGATCACCCACCAAGTAAACTATTTGCTTCAGTCCCAAATAGATACTAGAAGCCGATTGGCATCTAGTTACGGTGTTTATAGACAAGGTTGGCATTGTTAATAAAGGGGGGGAAAACTAATAATGGTGAAGAAAATGTAGTTAACGAGTGACTGGAAAAGAGCACATTGAAGACTGTGTATCCAAGCATTTAAGAAGTTGTTTAATAAAAGAAGTGGATCAAACCTAAAAAAAAAATCTACAACCATATTTAGGCTTATCTTGTGCAACATGCTTTGAGTATGTTATGAAGCGAAAGCTGGGGTTGAAGAACAAGCAATATGGTGTATATTCACACACACACACACACACACACGTTTTGTCCTAAAATGTGAAATCATTCAACATGTAATACATAAGAAATAGAAGAAACCCTAAAGATCACTTAATCCAATGTCCTTGTCTTACAGATGAAGAAAAAGAGGTGGTTTAGTGGCACAAGCAGGTCTAGACTATAGAGATTCTGGGCCTTTCCATTATACTTTCTACTTCTACACATACATACTAGGTATTGAAACAGTGGTTTCAGCACTACCGTGTCAACCCAAGACATGATAATGAATATATCTGTGAGAGTATGGAAAGAAGGATCAAGGCAAGGGTGACCCGAGTCCCTGTCACTCTACTACCCCTGGCGGGTGGATGTGAGCTTGCTTCTCTTCTTGGGGCCCTGCACGCGTGAGGATGCGCGTGGAAAGGCCCTGTGGAGAGGAAGACTTCATGCTACTCCAGGGTGATCACTGTTGGCCGATTTTGTGTTGTTAATTTCACATGAAGCTTCACGCTCAGCACCCTGTGGACTGGCCTCTGGGGTCCGGGGTCAGGGGTCTCCTCCCCGGGGACGGGGACGCGGGAGATGCCCCGGGCTGCGCGACCCCAGCAGCGCGCCCTCTGCAGGGCGCGCACCGCAGCGCGGCCGCGGAGCA